CTCTGACTCTCTGGATGTGAGCAGGTGATGTTCTCCCTGCGGGAGCTGTCAGGACCTCTGTCAGTGCTGATGGACATGGTGACCTGCTGCTCCTACTGTAACCAAAGCTTCTCTCTGGGAGTGCTGCAGCTGCTCAAAGTGAGTCATGATGGTGATGGTGGTGATGATGATGATGATGATGATGATGATGATGATGGTCTAAACGCTCTAACTGTGTGTGTCAGAGCCAGCTGGAGACAGCTCCACCTCATGAGCTGAAGAACGTGTTCCAGATGCTGCAGGAGCTTCTGGTGAGTCCTTCACTCGTCCCATCAGAACCACCTGGACTCTGTGTCTTCTCAACTGGTCTGTCAATGTGTCCTCAGGTCCTGGAAGACCCGCTGCAGTCCCAAAGACTGAAGTATGCCTTTGAGTCAGAGAAGGGCCTGCTGGGTACGTGTCCTGGTTAAATGATGTGTGAAGGTGTGTCCTGTGTGAAGCTGACACCCTGTCTTCTCCTCCTGCAGCTTTGATGCATCAGAGCAACAACGTGGACAGCAGGCGCTGCTACCAGTGTGTCAAGTTCCTGGTGACCCTGGCTCAGAAGTGAGTGCAGCTCAGGTTAGAGAGGACGGTCTGTCTCTGTGCTGTCTCACTCTAATGTCCTCCTCAGGTGTCCTCCTGCCAAAGATTATTTCAAAGACTTGTCGGGTCACTGGAGCTGGGCTGTGCAGTGGCTGCAGAAGAAGGTGAAGAAACCCTCAACTCTTTCATTTGTACTGCTTTTCTTCTTTGTTCCACTTTCTATAAGACAAAAATCTGTATGCATTTTATAATAAATGGAAAAGCTGAGCTGTACGACACATATTTATCTCAGGGTATTTTCAACAATTATACCAGTATCTTGTTTTTGACAGGATTCTTTTTCTTCTGTTCATCACAGCTCAGCTCTTAATAAAATCAGGGTGTCCACTTAAAGTCTTACATTCACATATCTAAAATTAAGACCTTAAAAAGTCTTAAATTTGATTTAAAAAATATGCAAGTTGGTCTCAAACTTGTTACTCAAAGGTTTTAAATTTTGTCTGACAGAAGRGATTAAAGTTCTCCGTCTCTGCAGCACATTTCCTGTTGAGAAAAGAGAAACAAACTTGGATTAACTGACGCTGCTTTCAACCAATAAAAAGAACCAGAGTCACAGTTTTAGCCAATCAGAGCAGAGCAGGGCTCGTCCTGCTGTCTGAGCACAATCAGAAACGCAGGTGACGTAATCAAGAGTTGATCGGACTTTTCCAAAGACTTTTTTTATTTTTTTGACCCGCTACCAGAACCACCCGGCCCACATGAAGGTAAAGTTATGTAATAAATGATTAAATATTAAATGTTTGTGTTCGTCTGTGACCAGTTCACTGCAGCCGAGGAGATGCTGAGCTGTTACACCCTTCTWCCCATCCAGAACCGAGCCCAGACCTTTTGTATCTAAAGTCCAACTGTGTTAAATGTTTATGTGTTCAGAGCGTTGTTGATATTTTACTATAGAAAACGCACCGGGCCAAATACACGTGAACATTTTATGTTACTGTGATACTTAAACAACATGTGCAACTTAAGAGTGTGACCGAACTCCGGGTCCGACAGAGAGAGCACGTCACAGAGAGAGCACGTCACAGAGAGAGCACGTCACAGAGAG